CATGACCATAGTTTTCTATGATCCTACTGAGATGATTAACTCACAATGCCAGAATTAGGGTTTTCAGAGATGATGATATAGACTAGAGATATAAAAAAAACAAAAAAAAGGTTAATCGTGAGATATACCCCAACAGGTCAGGGAGCAAAAGCTGTCTGTATACTGGTACCCACAAAGAGTCCAGATTAGAGATATCAACACGCTATAAGATTGTTCAACTCGAGTAATTAAAAGTATGACTCATGAAATAATACGAACAAATTATCAAATTTCGTTGGCTTGACAAACCTCATAGCTCTAACCTCTTCGTCTCGACTTACACTTCTAAAGCTTCACTTTATATTTTATAGTGAAAGGGAACGGGATCAATTATTACATATTACCAGGTAAATGATCAAAAAGCTGACAAGGGTCTGTGATGCTAACCCTATCCTTTTTCATTTCAGAAAGATTAGTGGATCAATTATTACATATTACCAGGTAAATGATCAAAAAGCTGACAAGGGTCTGTGATGCTAACCCTATCCTTTTTCATTTCAGAAAGATTAGTGGGTCAAACCTTGCTGGGCAATGGGACTTAAGTATATATGTAACCCAGATTGAAATTTTCGGTGAAAATGACTTAAATAATCCGTAGGAATCATGTTACGAGTACAGAAAAAATTAGCACTAAATTTTGACAGACAATACATGGCAGGATTTGATTGAAAGATGGAAAGAGATTAAAGAAATCAATCCAATCATTTGCGACCACATTAACGTAGATAAAAATTCTGTCAAAAATTCCCCGTACTCATGGCTTTTTCCATGAGAGAAAAATCAGATTCCATCATAATGAATTATGCTCCAGGTATTACGTTTACGGAAGACACACTGTTAAACACTGTTTTCCTCGACATAATCATTCATGAATCTAATCATAAATAAGTCTCAGTCTCTCTCTCTCTCTCTCACTCACAGCTCAGAGCTTATGCCCTGTTTGATAACAATTTTAATATTATTTTATTGACAAATGTGTAGTTGAAAAGCTGAAAAAGAAAATGTATTAAAATTTAAAAGGAATCAAACAAGTGCCTCATTGCTTTTCATTTATAAATATTGTGCGTATCAGACTTCTAAATATATATAAATCCAAATTGCGTGTGAGTAAACATATTGAAAACTAAAAAATTATATAAATAAGTTCGATTACAGCTATTTACTAAAATTGCACACCTACCAAACTTTGATTGAAAATAATACATTTTACATAGAAACTTAAATTCTTAAATGAACAATGAAACGGAACGCTATATTTCCGACTCTCAACAACACTATATATACTGAATCTGCCTCCATTTTCCAGCACTTCTTCGACATTTGAGAGAGAGAGAGAGAGATGGAGTTTAGTATTA